TCACCCAGGACTGTCGTCTTGCATGCGTTCACCCGTGCGTGCGTTCACTTACATCCCGTGCGTGCTTTGCGTGCTTGCGTGCGTTTTACTCGTGCGTGCGTGCGTGCGTGTGCGCTGGCGTAGAGGCGGTTGACACTTGTAGCGATGCAGACGCCGTGCGAACGGCCGCTAGAGAGCAGCACGTACGTGGCCTGCGCGGCACGGACGCCTGTCGAAAACACAACATGGCGGCTGCGACGGTGGCGGCGAGCGTTGTCGGGCGTCTGCTGGCAGTCGCCTGCCTCCCGCTGCCGCCGTGGTGTTTTGAAGCAGTGTTCTGTAGAAAGACGGGCTGGAGGCTAGAGTTTCTGCATCTCTCTACTCTCCCTCTCTCTCTCTACAGCAGCATACGCTCGCAGCTCGTGTTGTCTGTATTATTTCCCTTAGTCGGTCGGTCGATCATCATCATATGTTATATATATACTTATATATATATATATACATATACATATATATATCTCGTATATTGTAGTATTGCACTGTATGTACATGTGGTAGCGTAGCTACACGGTAGAGGACGGAGTCTGCGCATGCGCGGTTGGCGGGAGTTTACGTGCGCGCCGCGTTCTAGACACGCGACGACGATGACGTCACTCCGCGATGATGACGTGGCACCAATATTTTTATACCAAGTAATCGTAAATAAAAAAAGGCGAGAGAGGGCGCCACGTTGCCGGCGGGCGAGAGAAGACGTGCGGGGGGATTCTTTTGCGTGGGCTTTGCGGGGTAAAGAGTTATCGAGCATGGATGCCCGTTTTACAGTGTATGTTTGGCGTCGACAGGATCTGCTTCCCCTCCATTCACCGTCAGATGGCGGTGCGTGTGCGCTGTCGTGTCGGCTCTCCTGCTCACTGCAGACTCCCGGGCGTGTTTTCTATCGCGCCCGCTTGATGGCGGACGGGCGTGGCGCTGTCGATAGCGAGCGTGTATTTTTTTGGCTTACGGTAGTAGTTTACGGAGGCGCACGTCCGTCCGTCCGCCCGTCTGCGCGCGCCTTGTCATCCATCACTCCCGCTCGTCTCTCTCCTGCTTCGTCCTTCTCTCCTCTCCCGTTCGTCCCTTTCCCGTTCGTCCCTCTCCCGCTCGTCCCTCTCATCTCCCGTTTGTCCCTCTCCCGCTCGTCCCTTTCTTCTCCCGCTCGTTCCTCTCCTCTCGCGCTCGTCCCTCTATCTCCTCTCCCGCTCGTCCTCTCTTCTCCCCTCGTCCATCTTCTCCCCTCTCCCGCTCGCTCCTCTCCTCTCCCGCTCGTCCCTCTCCTCTCTCCCACTCGTTCCTCTCCTCTCGTTACTGGGACCGATATCCTCGCGTGCAAGAAATGTTTTCTCTCTCTCTCCAGCGCGGCGACGTGAACGCCAAGAGAGGTGCAAGGAAGAAAAGTTGTCCTCGTTCGTTTGCGTATTATGACACCGTGTAATTCCGTGTCTATTATAGCGGCCGTTGTGTGACCGTATATAATTAGTAGTAGACGTTAGATGTTAGCGTGCGTGCGTGCGTGCGTGTTGGATGTCGTATACGGTTTTCAAACGCGTAGTAACTAAAACCGTGAGATGCAGACTAGCGGGGCGGCATGATTGCCTCTGGCGGCGGGATAGCAACGTGACTGCCCTCTCGTGCGGGTTGTTGAGTGTGAAACCTGTCTAAGCTTCTCTTGCGAGCAGTTTCCTGTGTGGTGGTCCTCATCACACGAGGAAGCCAGCTAACACTGCGAAGCGGAAAAAAACCCACGAACTATCTATACGAACTCACGAAATCGCTACTACGAACGGACAAAAATTTCTCATGAACTTACGGAGCAGCGTTCGTCGTCGTTTTTTCCGAATTATTTTTTAGTCCGACTGCTCGTGAATAGTCAGTCGTCGGCTATTGCTTCGTGGTGTAGCATTCACTAGCTCGCCAGCCACGGCGAGTCATTTTTACGGTTTTGTCAGTCACATTCTTCTTCCCCCCCCCTTGTGACGCACCGCGTGACGAGATCTCGCGACTAGGCGTGTGACGATAGAGGAAGTCATGATGTAGTCGGAGCTCCCGTGATCACTAGCCGCGAGATTGTCTGCACGTGTGTGTTCTAGGGATATATCCGATGCAGTCCTTGCACGCTTGGCTGTGCGCGCGTGCGTGTGTGAGTAGGTGTGCGTGTGTACGTGTGTGTGTTGACAGCGGCAGCGTATGTAGGTCGTGTATTTCTCGTATTTCTGTACTTTTCCAATATCGTTATTAAAGTTTTATCTCCAGAATTTTCGTGTCTTTTTGACGGGTTTAATTAATGAGAGCATGCCCTTGAGTGTTGGTCCGTTCTGTCTTAGCTACAGTTCATCGAGTTGATTCTGTCGTAGATGTGGTGGCCAGTCTGGCCAGCTCAACAAGCATACCTAGCATCCTCATACAAACGTGGCTCAGACGTCCCGCGCATCCTCACACAAAGGACCTCAGCATACCCTGCGATACCGCACACTAAACGGCTCAATCATCCCGCGATACCTGGCACACAACGTGGCTCAGGCATCCCAGAATCCTCACACAACAGTGGGCCTCCAGCATCCCAGCGATCTCAAGTCACACGAAACGTGCTCAGCAATGCCATGCATCCCTCACACCAAACTGGCTCCACTCATCCCCGCATCCTCACAAACGTGCTCAGCATCCAGCATCCCTCACACAAACGTGGCTCAGCATCCCCGCATCCTCACACAAACGTGGCGCAGCATCCCAGCATCCCCGCATCCTCACACCCAAACGTTGGCGCAGCATTCCCCAGCATCCCCGCATCCTCACACAAAGTGTGCGCAGCATACCCCAGCATCCCGCATACCTCCACAAACGTGGCGCCCAGCATCAAGCAGCTATAATATACATATATATATTAACCATGGTTATCCATATTATTTCTATGTATCAAACAGACGCGGAGCGGGTTTTGCTTCCTAAAATGGCGGACGTGGCGCTCCATTGCGTACTACACGTCATTGCACGTGATTTCGCATGAGTGGTTTATCTTGGTAGGGACCAATCAAGTGAATCAACATGAATGGCGTACGATTTCTTATTTTATTTATGACGTTCCAAAATACCAACGAATATCAACGGATTTGCAGGTAATTTAATGCGAAGAGCAAGTAGTATCAGTCCGTAAATGCCGCGCGCAAATACGCAGATAGATTTGAGGGCCGTAGCACAGGAAGATGACGGGAAATTCTCGCGCGTAGCAAGGATAGAGATGATGTCCAGTAAGGTGATTGGATAGGATGATGTTAGTTGATAAGATTAAGATAGGACTGGACATAGAGGGGCAAGGCAATTTTTTTGGGGCATGTGAGAAATTGCCTTGAATTTTCTCTAAAATGGATGGGCACCAAGGCAATTTTAAAAGGCATCAAAGCGACTCTCACAATTTGAGAAGGGCACCAAGGCACTTTTGTAAAATAAAGGAAAACTCATAACAAATTAATACATCAACCTCTGCTAATGGAAGTACAGTAACAGGGTTCAACGTTAACTTTTTATTTCACTAGACCATCGGGCTAGTAACTGAGGAAAACCAGATATTATCGCATGATTTTTCTTTACAGAAGAGGCTAGTTGGGTCATACTTGCTGCTACCATATACGCCTACCATATACGCTACCATACCTATGTCCAAGTAGGGACTGGTTTACTTCAGTCATGGCGTCAGCTGGTAACAAGCTAAATATTGGGCAAGAACCTGTATGCCATGCCATAGACTTGGGTGATCTCGACTTCTGTATACTGGTACGCAGTCAAATCTATTCATATAAAAATGTTTTACCTTGTCTGATTCTAGTACCTGCTAAATTCAGTAGCATTGCATCCTAGTAGAAGAAAAATTGTGTGACATCTTTATTTGGCATTTTTAGGAAAGGCTGCGGAAGATGCTAGATGGAACGTTTGACTTCTGGAGAGATTTGGGTAAGATCAAGGGCAGGCAGGGAAGGCAGGTGAAGTTGAATACAAGTTGTATGTGTACATCAATCTATAAAATATTAGTGTGCACATGTGGTAAGAGTTTTTTCTATTGATGTCAATTGACATCGTAACAAAATGAATAATACAATGTGAGTTTACGGGCATGCCATGCTTGTTCTGTGACATTTGCGTGATTTAATAATGTAACACTTGAGTTCTCTTCATCGTTATGCATGGCAGCACATATGCATTACATAAGGTGTGAGTACGTACGTATTTTGGAAGGTGAGAGTAAAGCTGAAACTACTATTTCATCTAGGTGCAGAAATGCGTATTGACAAAGATTTCATGGCAGAGATTCCGATAAAGATTCAGCAAGGAAGGAGTCCCTATGAATTGTTACATAATGGTAACAACATGTCAGCTATTGTTATGAACATGCACATCTGTTGCTATATGATTCATGTCATATGTATTTCGTGTGTTCATTGCTTACGTATTGGGTGCCTACCCAATAAATTTCTTGGAGAAGGAATTCATTAAGATAATTTGAAAATGTTGTTACCAGTATTGTAATTGAGAGGTTTGACATGAAGACAGAGGAACATACAGAGTTCTATTGTCGTAAGAGAAATAATGTTCTAGTTTTGATTTTTGCTGATCTAACATAACTAAGAGCTAACCAGCATCTAACACGTGCTTTTGTAAATAGAGTCTCATCTTTTCAATGCCGCCATACAGTATGGAAGAGCCAAAACAAAACGGTCACCGATCTTTATCTGGTACTGGTGCGCACTGACCACCTGCGAGCTGCCAGGGTCCTGAGAGATCTCGGTAAGCATGTATGACAATATTTCTGAGGAGCTAGCATTAGGTAATCCATGCAGGTTGTTCTGAGACATGTGAAGCTGATCACTGATATGGTAGTCCGATCTGCCAGCTCTACCTACATCACACTGACGTAGTGTGAAGCTAAAGTTGAGAATGAATTATGCATTTCAGCATGAATCACAGTGTTTATGTACTCATGTACTATCAGGAGCGTATAATGTGTGCGTGTGTGCTTGCGTGCGTGCGTGCGTTTACGCGTGCGTGTGTGCTTGCGTGCGTTCACCCTTGCGTGCGTGCGTGCGTTTACGCGTGCGTGAGTGCGTTCACCCATGTGTGCATGCTTGCGTGCGTTCACCCGTGCGTGCGTGCATGCGTGCGCGCTGGCGGCAGAGGCGGTTGACACTTGTAACGATGCAGACGCTGTGCGAACCGGCCGCTAGAGAGCAGCACGTACGTGGCCTGTCGCGACGGACGCCTGTCGAAAACACAACATGGCGGCTGCGACGGTGGCGGCGACGCGTTGTCGGGCGTCTGCTGGCAGTCGCCTGCCTCCCGCTGCCCGCGGTGTTTTGAAGCAGTGTTCTGTAGAAGGACGGGCTGGAGGCTAGAGTTCCTGCATCTCTCTATCTCCCTCTCTCTCTCTACAGCAGCATACGCTCGCAGCTCGTGTTGTCTGTATTATTTCCCCTTTAGTCGGTCGGTCGATCATCATCATATGTATATATATACTTATATATATATATATACATATACATATATATATCTCGTATATTGTAGTATTGCACTGTATGTACATGTGGTAGCGTAGCGTACACACGGTAGAGGACGGAGTCTGCGCATGCGCGGTGGGCGGGAGTTTACGTGCCGCGGCTTCTAGACACGCGACGACGATGACGTCACTCCGCGATGATGACGTGGCACCAATATTTTTATACCAAAGTAATCGTAAATAAAAAAAGGCGAGAGAGGGCGCCACGTTGCCGGCGGGCGAGAGAGGACGTGCGGGGGGATTCTTTTGCGTGGGCTTTGCGGGGGTAAAGAGTTATCGAGCATGGATGCCCCGTTTTACAGTGTATTTTGGAGAATTCATTAGAGATGGGGGTGGGGGGCGTCGACAGATCTGCTTCCCCTCCCATTCACCCGTCAGATGGCGGTGCGTGCGCTGTCGTGTCGGCTCTCTGCTCACTGCAGACTCCCGGGCGTGTTTTCTATCGCGCCCGCTTGATGGCGGACGGGCGTGGCGCTGTCGATAGCGAGCGTGTATTTTTTTGCTTACGGTAGTAGTTTACGGAGCGGCACGTCCGTCCGTCCGCCCGTCTGCGCCGCCTTGTCATCCATCACTCCCGCTCGTCCCTCTCCTGCTCGTCCCTCTTCTCTCCCGCTCGTACCTCTCCTCTCCTGCTCGTCCCTCTCTTCTCCTGCTCGTCCCTCTCCTCTCCCGTTCGTCCCTCTCCTCTCCCGTTTGTCCCTCTCCCGCTCGTCCCTTTCTTCTCCCGCTCGTTCCTCTCCTCTCCCGCTCGTCCCTCTCATCTCCTCTCCCGCTCGTCCCTCTCTTCACCCGCTCGTCCCTCTCCTCTCCCCTCCTCTCCCGCTCGTCCCTTTCCTCTCCTCTCCCGCTCGATCCTCTCCTCTCGTTACTGGAGGCGATATCCTCGCGTGCAAGAAATGTTTTCTCTCTCTCTCTCCAGCGCGGCGACGTGAACGCCAAGAGAGGTGCAAGGAAGAAAAGTTGTCCTCGTTCGTTTGCGTATTATGACACCGTGTAATTCCGTGTTCTATAGCGGCCGTTGTGTGACCGTATATAATTAGTAGTAGACGTTAGATGTTAGCGTGCGTGCGTGCGTGCGTGCGTGCGTGTTGGATGTCGTATACGGTTTTCAAACGCGTAGTAACTAAAACCGTGAGATGCAGACTAGCGGGGCGGCATGATTGCCCTCTGGCGGCGGGATAGCAACGTGACTGCCCTCTCGTGGCGGGTTGTTGGGTGTGAAACCTGTCTAAGCTTCTCTTGCGAGCAGAGTTTCCTGTGTGGTGGTCCTCATCACACCGAGGAAGCCAGCTAACACTGCGAAGCAGAAAAAAACCCACGAACCATCTATACGAACTCACGAAATCGCTACTACGAATGGACAAAAATTTCTCATGAACTTACGGACAGCGTTTGTCGTCGTTTTTTTCTGAATTATTTTTTAGTCCGACTGCTCGTGAATAGTCAGTCGGTCGCTATTGCTTCGTGGTGTAGCATTCACTAGCTCGCCAGCCACGGCGAGTCATTTTACGGTTTTGTCAGTCACATTCTTCTTCCCCCCCCCCCCTGTGACGCACCGTGACGAGATCTCGCGACTAGGCGTGTGACGATAGAGGAGGTCATGATGTAGTCGGAGCTCCCGTGATCACAGCCCGCGAGATTGTCTGCACGTGTGCGTTTCTAGGGATATATCCGATGCAGTCCTTGCACGCTTGGCTGTGCGCGCGTGCGTGTGTGAGTAGGTGTGCGTGCGTATGTGTGTGTTAAGCAGCAGCGTATGTAGGCGTGTATTTCTCGTATTTCTGTACTTTTCCAAGATCGTTATTAAAGTTTTATCTCCAGAATTTTCGTGTCTTTTGACGGGTTTAATTCGATGAGAGCATGCTTAGTGTGGTCCGTCTGTCTTAGCTAACAGATCATGAGTGATTCTGTCGTAGATGTGTGGTCAGTCTGGCCACTCAACAACATCCTAGCATCCTCATACAAACGTGGCTCAGCATCCCCGCATCCTCACACAAACGGCTCAGCATCCCTGCATCCGCACACAAACGTGGCTCAGCATCCCCGCATCCTCACACAAACGTGGCCTCAGGCATCCCAGCATCCTCACACAAACAGTGCCTCCAGCATCCCCAGCATCTCAAGTCACACGAAACGTGGCTCAGCATCCCATCATCCTCACACCAAAGTGGCTCCACTCATCCCCGCATTCCTACACAAACGTTGGCTCAGGCAACCCAGCATTTCTCACAAAATCGTGGCTCAGCATCCCCGCATCCTCACACAAACGTGGAGCAGCATCCCAGCATCCCCGCATCCTCACACACCCAACGGTTTGGAGCCAGCATTCCAGCAATCCCCGCATACCTCACACAACAACGTGGCGCAGCATACCCCAGCATTCCCCGCATTCCTCCAAAACGTGGCGCCCAGCATCACAAGGC